TGCGAAGGAAAATTCTCCTCGTGTTTATGTTATACAAAGGAAAACACAAAAGTCCTATCCAGGTAACCTCTTCGACGGAACCTGAGTGCTGGGTGAACTGTTAATAGATGTCTTATCCACTAGAGCAGTGGTATTCAAGCTATGGCTAGCTACACATTTGTGGTCAAGAAAATTTATAGTGGGTTCGCCAAGGGGATTAGAAATATTAAAAAATCTGAATTTATGGTATGTAACTAATGATCGAAGCTCTAACTGGAGTCGAGAAATTGGTTTTGGGGTCTTTTGCACTTTTATGGCGGTCGCACTGCCATAAAATTTGAGTGCCACTGCAATAGATTATTGGTAGGCAGAAATACTATAGTACTCTGAGAGAATGAAGCGGGAAAGAGAAATTCATGAGATGATACTTTTGATAATTTAATATCTGGTTGTAACCAAAGTTTTCTGCCAAGAAAACGTTCTTAAGTTAGGGAAAAAAAAACATGAAAGCAGCACCTTTAGTGCAGGTAGTAATCACCACCCAAATCTATGATTTTCTGCCAAAGATTCATGCGGCACCCAACGATTGAACTCGTACGTCAAGCTTATGCGATGCATAGCGCGACTAATTGAATATGGCACTAACGTCTAACTCCTTAACAAGCTCTCGAGGGATTACATATGAATCTTCTTCCACAAGTTCTCGTTGGCGGGCCTCATCAACGTCTGTATGACGGCCAGAGCGTTCTACTTCTTGAATGACATAGTTTTTCAAAGCCTTCATTTCAGAAACTTGGTAACCGCGAGTTCAATCAATCTTATTTCGGACGTCCTGTGCAAAATAGAAGATAGCACCAGCAAGATATAGCTGCAGGTGTGAAAAAGGTAGAAATTCGAAGGAGCGATGTTGGGGCTATGTGGTGGGGATGGCAAAAGATCCCATTCGAGTTTGTTCAGAGTCCAGCCGGCGAATGCAAACATTTGTGGTCTTGCATTATCTTCAAGGAACACTACTTTTTTTTGCGCCGAAACTCAGTTCGACGTTTTTCCTTGATAGCAGCGTTTGCACGGTGTAGCATCTCGCTGTACACCTTTCTGTCGAGGGTTTTACATTTTTCCATATACCCTTTGTGGATAATACAACCACCAGATACAAAGCATGATCTTTTTGTTGGTCAAATTGCGCTCTGTGACGCTGCCGACGAACCCTCTTTTCGGCCTGTATTGTTGAAGTAAGTCACTTTTCATTACAGCTGACGATCTGGTCCATAATTTTGTCCTTGCATTGATATTCGAACAGATTCCAGCGGACCCGAACACGTCTGTCCTTATCTGCTTGAGTCGGCTCATGCGGCACCCAACGATTGAACTCGTACGTCAAGCTTATGCGATGCATAACGCGACTAATTGAATATGGCACTAACGTTTAACTCCTTAACAAGCTCTCGAGGGATTACATATGAATTTTCTTCCACAAGTTTTCGTTGGCGGGCCTCATCAACGTCTGTATGACGGCCAGAGCGTTCTACTTCTTGAATGACATAGTTTTTGTTTTTGAACTTCCGCTACCAAACCTTCACAGTGTAATATGATACAACATTATTACCTAAAGCTATACACACGATTTGGTGACATTCTGCAGCTGACGTTTTGCAACAGAACTGGAAGCAAATGATGGTTCTAATCTAATAGCGTGAAAGTTCTATTTCAGACATATTGTACTTAATGATAACGATATTTTTTTACGAATTTCACAACACAGTATGCACGCCGCAACACAGTATTTCACAACACGCCGGCTAAAGTAAATCTGTTTCTTTCAAATGCCAAAAAGTGTTTGACAAAATATGATTAAACGCGCCCAACGCGATCTGTTTGCGCAGACGATATTTGCGGTGGCGGGAAACTTTCGTTACAACCGATAATGATATTGATTTGAAATTTAAATAATAATATTTCGACGACTTAAATATAGTACTATCACTTATCACTTAGAAATCATCATATGTTTAAATAACAACTATTTGATAACTTAAATATAGAACTTATCATCCCTGATCACTTAGCAGTCATCATACGACTATTATTTAGCTTAATTTGAATAGACTAATAATGAAAATATTTGAAATACTGTGAAAATTAAAAGGAGATGATGCAGAAACAGAAAGTGAATAAATAAATGCTAACAAAATGGCGCTGTCCTCAACTAGCTTATTGCAGAATTCGTCAACTAAAATCATCTTCAACTAGCTTATTGCAGGACTGCCAAAGGACTTCATTTGCAAAACGGTGAAACTATACGAGAAGCACAATAAAATTATGTATGCTGTATTTGAAATCGACTGGGCTTCTTTTCTTTAGCGCCGTTCTGTTGGCAATGGTATGGGAGCCGGGAGCCCTGGTCTTGGGCTTGAGTTCGAATCCCGGAGAAAGTTTAGATGTTTGTATTCTCTCATGCACGCTTGCAGGTATATAACTTCTGAAATTCACCATGGGCAACGTTTTCGATGAAAGACGAATAAATGTCCGGCCATTTGGGGTAGAGGGAGGGACGTTTTTCTTTGTTGATGTGAATATACAAGTAATACTTGTATAAGTAAGTTATTTAGGATAAAAAGATTTTATGGCAACAAATTTTTAACTATTTGAACAAGGAAGACACAATAACACGCCGAATAGATACTAATTCAGAAGTCAAACAACAAAAATCAGCGTTATATTTTCAAAATGTTTTCCGGTTTTGCAGCTGAGGATGGTGGTTCGGTAAAACCATCGAAACTAGTCCTGTGAAAATTTTGAAAATATAACGCTGATTTTTGTTGTTTGACTTCTGAATTAGTATCTGAATAAGCTTTAAACTTTTAACATATTATAGGTCCAACGTGTATAGACTTTAAAATCCAACAGGCTGAGCCTCCCTATATCAAATGTATATTTTCAACGGCAACTGTAGTCGCAAGCGTATCATTTGTGAAATTTAAATTTAAGCAGACTTATGTTTCACTATATTTAACTGAAAATAGAATACCTACATTATTTATTCTTATACTCAAAAATGAAAAAAAAAATTAAATCTGGAATATTGTTTTAAGCAAAAGCAGCGTATAAATGCAAAAGGTTGCACATAAGTAAATTATAAGATTCGGTGTATCTTTGAGGAGGAAGGAGTGGCACTTCAGTGAACAGTGAGTGATAATCTTGTAGTAATTTAAGTCTTCAAGAACCTGTAATTCAATTTTGTTTATTATTAAAATCTCATGAGTTTCAGAATATTAGATTATTTCTACAAATTTTATGCATTCTAAGTATGTACACTGTTAATTCAAAAGTTTTGACTACGGATTGATATTTATACTCTCAAGTGAAAGAAAAAATCAATTATTTTGAATGCAAAATTGAAATTCGTAGAAAGAAAGCTATTTCAAATGCCATGATAGAGTAAAAGAAATGAGAAAAATTTCGAACGAAATTAAGTGTTATTCATAGAAGCACATTCATGGTTTTTTTAAGGAATATACTACAAATAAGATTACTCCTAGGAACATATAAATTAAAAGCGTTACTCTTAGGAACGTATAAATGATTTAAAAAAAAAGGCGAAAATAAAAATAACAACGCGAGAAGAATTCACATGCTCCTAGAATTCCAAAAACTTCCCCGATTCATTAGCATTACTGCTTTGCGCTGAAATCGAACCAGCAGATCTTAAGGATATTATTATACTTAACCCTGTTCGCAATACATCAAGAAGTGCTGTATAACTCCAAGCTAGTATGGCATTTTCAGGTAATTCTAATATTTTTTTGCAAGGTATATGCTGAACAAGCGTATTTATAATTACTAAAAGAACTGTATTAATTAAAAATCTCAGATTCTGATGCCAGAGAAAGGATTATAGTTAATCATAATCTTCAGACATTGGTGTCAATTTTTAGAAAGGGTTATAGGAGCTCGGATTAATATTGACCACACCCGAACGTAGATACGTAAACATAGAAAGCAGCATTTCACTAGAGCAAAAGGGGAACTACGCCGTGTTTAGAGGAAGAATAGATCATGCGCAAAAAAGGCTCAAAATTTTGTACACGGCCGAGCGACATCGCAAAAAGAGGGCCTGTGCTGGCCCCGGAAGTCAAAAGTCGGGTCTTTTATCGTCAACCACGCACTGCAGACAAATTTCCGGGCTTCTTGTATGTGCCACTTCCATTCAACAAATTCATTCCGACGGACGTAGCTACAAGTTCGGACTTCGCTCGAATTCTGCAGATAATATTGCTGACAACTTCCTTTTTCCGAAGCTGCACAGTTTTGTTTTAACATATTTCTAGAATAATTAATCTATTATGGATTACCGTTCACTTTTCGCTTGCTCAGAATTTGATTTAGAGAAAGATTCTTAAAGTACATTTGTTTTGAGTAAGTTGACAACTCCAACAAATCACCGCAGTTATCATCAGGTAAGATTTTTATTATGAAATAAATAAATCAGCTTCCTAGAGAGAAATAAATTAAAAAAATAGCTGCATCCAATACTTTATTATAGTTAATGATTGACACAGGAAGTGCTTTTCGATACAACAGGTAAGAATTAAGTCCATTTATTAGGACAGCCCTGCATTATTTTGAAAGTGACGAATTCTACAATCACGAAATTGTATATTTAAACAGAGAAAAAACTATGAACTTTACATATTCAACAGTGAATTTCAAAATCCACGTTTTTTGTATTTCAGTCAAAAGATTATACAAATTTTCAAATTAAAAATCATGTACGAAATGCAGTACATGAAAAGTAAATACATACGGCAGTTGTATGCATTAAATCTATAGGTAGTTCCATCATGTTGTATAATTTTGGACATGAATTTATTTATTTAATGACACATGTAACATATACATGCATTTTTGCAAAATTTTTTTCAAAATTTTCAATTGTTTGATTTTCTTAATTTAATGCAATATTAAACTATCATATATTTGATAGCAGATAATTGCAAAGTTTTAAACTTTTTTTCTTCTTAGTGGCGAAGAATATTCTTCAAAGATCGAAAATGGTTATTATTTTTTCTTCAGATGGTATTTCAGTGACTGAAGGATCAGCGCTATGTTGCTAGGTGCGTTATTAAGATTCTGTTATTTACCTGTGGTTTTTAAGTATCCGAAACTGCAATATATTGAATAGCATTATAACTGAGCAGCACTTAATTTCAAAGAAAGCTTTTGAGCATGTTCAAACTAATATTTGTAGCTTTGGTCTTTTGTTTCAAATTCAAATGTTAATGTTAGATGAATGCAATATTAAAAAAATTCTCGAAAGTTATAGGTATCTTGAATTTATTTCTAACTGCAATTTTAATGTAATCATAAATACAATTCTTTTCCCCCTTCTCCCAAGATGGGTGTGTTCATTCAGTAAGCATTATGACGAATCCTATGCGCTATTAAAATATAAACGCAAAAGAATAATTCTTAATCTCTACATTGAAATTTTATGGACTGCATTTGTATAAAAAAATTTAAATCATTTTTTTAATTGGTAACTATTCCCATTGATGGAAATCCCTTTTTTAATGAATATAAATGTTAACTGTGTGAAATATCACGTAATATGTGCTCGATATTACAATAGATCTAAATTTCATAACTTGAAATAATTCTAACGGTATTTCATACAGCGGCTAAAATTAAAAAACTTAAATTTCTAAGCATTTAACATTGACATTGAATATAATTTTAAAATGTCTGTTTCCTATTCTAAGAATCTACGATATTATTATGATGCGCATTCCTTTCCTTTATCTGTATTCAAAAGAATTAATAGAGAACTATTCAGTATTCCAGACCCCTCAAATGGTCGAATTAAGACCACTAAACGCCAGTAGATAGATCAGGTTTGAGATTTCCTCTAGCGGAGCTTACTGTATGGGATTTTCGTTCTATTCAATATGCGTAACATAAATGAGAGACAATTTGCCTAAGAACGTTCTTTTAGAAAAGCATTCGTCCCCGTAAATAACCTTTGCATGCCTGGCCTTAATAACTGAACTAATTAAATTGTTCTGTGAATGTTTGTTTATTTGAATATGGCAGAGTACTTAAGTGCAGGAATGCCTTCATGAAGGAGTGTCTAAGGGGAAATAGCTCATATTCCCAAGTTTGTAAAACGAAACATGTATATTTGTGTATTACATATATTTAATTTGAAATTTCATTTATCCTTGGATGAAAATATATGCTGTTTCTGAAATGTGGGTTTCGATATACTGATCTCTCTAAGTAAAATACCAACGCTTAGAAATAGCATTAGGGGAAAGTATAAACAATAACTTATTTTATTGCATTACCCAGCTACTGCGGCTTTTAAAATGCAATTCTTTTGCAATTTTGAGTCGAGGTATTCAGTCAAATAATTAATAGTAATCTTAATTCAAAGAAAATTTCTTGAATAAAGTTGACAGGTTTGTAGAGACATTAGGTAATTTTTGGAAACAGGAAACATGAAAAATGAGCAATCGCCTTCGCCGGGAATCGAACCACGGACTTCTGAAATACCGGTTCAGTGTGCTGACCACTACAAAGGCACGCTAGGAAGGCGGGAGAAATACCTTATACCTAATCAACCGAATGCACAAATAATAGGAAAATTATATTCAATAAAGTGAATAATAAATAAGTAATGAATAATAATTAAAGTGAATGTTCAGTGTACTTTCGTTCATTTAATTGTAAATAAGCGAAATAAAATTAGTAATTTAGGCTAATTATTTCTTAAAAAAAGAGAGAGAGAGAATGCCGTTGGTTACATTATTAGGCAATTTAATTTAGCAGTATCACCATAAGCTCATTGTACATTCATATGCATAATGAAGAATCTAAACTATAGTAATAAAGTAGATTGAAATGGATTATTGATTAAGAAAATGTGTGAAATTTAATCAAGAATCAAGTGCACGTGCACTTGTAATATTTTATCAATGATTTAATTCTTTCAGCTGTTTTCTGTGCCAAGAGCAATTTCCGTTCAACTTGAGACACTTTTCCTCCGTTTCCAGAGTAGAAGTGAGAATGTTTATCGAACAAATTAACATTATTATTTCCGAGAAAAGAAAAGGAAAAATGTTCAAATTTTATGTATCAAATTCTCGTTTTAACACTAGTGCTGTATGCTTTAAAATGTTTTCATGATACATGTGACCCTTAAACAAAGATTTTGAAACTCCGCTTATACATGGTCTTTCTTTTCTATAAATATATCAAAAACGCTTTGGAAAGTTAGTTTTAAAACTATAATAAATAAATAAAGCCCAATTCAATTAACTATAAAATTTTGTACGATTGCAAATGAGGCTCTGAATGTGTTTTAACATACGATACTCTGAACCAAAATAAACATGCCAGTGAAACTTTTACTAATTTGTTTTTGGTTAAAGGCGCCTTCATGCAAGTCAGACAATATTTTCCGAAACAGAAATTTTCGTAAGTGGGCACCAGTATAAAGGTGTCCACAACTTATAAAGTTAGGTTTAGAATTTGAAGAAAGCAGCTCTCGTAAAGTAACGGGCATCTTTAACGGTAAGGCATTTGCTGTGCAAGTAGGATTTTCGTTTGCTCTATTACTAATTAGTATAGGAAACTAAACCTTGTATACAACGGTGTTCCAGCATAATAATGCCAGCATTCTTATGTTGACTTTTTCAAGCTAAAACATTTCTTCATAAGGATGCAAGCATTTTTATATTGAGGTACTCTTATTATTTTTCAATCAATATTCTCCTTTCGTTTAATTCCAGCGTTAGAATACTGTATCTGATACGTGCAGCATATAAAATACGCGTTATCCTCGTTATGTGATAATAAGTCTTCCAATCAAGAGTAAGTTATTAGGTAGTTACATTTTTGAGAAATTAAAACGTTATTCCACGGAATTTAAGCAGCACAAAAAGCCGGTACCCTCAAAACCTTGCTCTCTTCAAGGCTTCGAATATTATATGAAATTACTGATACTCTGTGGAAGCAGACTTTCTTTTTTTTCCTTCAGTTTCTGTAGATTTCAATACATATATTTTCATTTCTTTTGAAATAACCTTTTTTAAAGTTCGTCACGTTTTGTATCTGTCAGAATTGAAGCCCAAGTGTGTTTGCAATTTTTATCACTGTAAGGTTCTTCAGCTGTGAAATTCGAAAATGCATTGGCAAATTAACATTAGCATTTCAGAAATGAATATCAACATAATGTACAAAATAGTTTTTTACTTTCTGTTTGGTAAAGCTTTCGCAATAAGCTGGTAGTTATCGTAATAAAAATTTTTGGTACACCTTTTGTAATAAACTAGTAATTATTTATTATTCCGATTAAAAATGTTGTAAATAATTTGATTGTGGGTGGAAAATGGGATTTTTGTTAATGATTATTATAGTGCTTGAAAGAAAAATCTAAATATATAAATAAATTTCTCTAATAATATAATAAATGAGACCGAATCAGAAGGATTTACTGAAGTTTTAAAAAGTTATCTCTTCAAGATAATTGATATGTAGCTTTTAAATTTCAAATTTCATTATCACTATTATTATCGCTACACTGGTGCATTTCGAGCCTTCTCTTGCATCCATCAAAATTTAGTTTCGCTTCTCTAATTTGTTGTATCTTGTTATTAGCTTTGTTCATTGCATTTACTACAATTCTCCTGCAAAGCAATTTCAGTCTGCTTCTTAACCTTATATTAGGACCCCTGTTCATGAAGGCTGCATAGCGTTTCGTGGTATGTAAATACAAGCCAGTTTACCTTAGTAAGGTCTTCGCAAAAGTATCCTTCTTCTCAGGCAGACAGCTTTTATGTGCTTTGCTTTAAATAGTTAACCCAGCAGCTTTATAACGATGCCCGTCATTAAAGTGGCGAAACTCAATTTTCTCCAAAATAGTCTTCATAAGAGTGCCTCAGTATGAAGATGCCTACCTCCTTATGAAAACATATTTTAAACTTAAAAAATCAATATAAGAATGCTGGCATTTTTATGCATCAAAACTGCTTCAAAAGTTGGCCTATATGTGCATTTTTACAAATGTAAATTTTAATTTATTTTATTGTTTGAGTAGTTTTTCAGAATTAATTTTAGTTGAAGATTTTTAAAAAGGGGCTGTTCCAAGCATGCTAGGAAGGATATTAAAAAAAATAGGCTGTATTTAGTTATTGTAGATCAAAAACTTTTAAATCGATGCATTACAATATTACTAGAGCACATACCATTGTATTTGAATATAACCACCTCTTTTCTGTATTCACTTGCCTGAACAATTGAACGAGTGATGCCCTGACGATAGGGCAGAAATTTCCTTCTGGTCACGGAGCTATCATAAAATCGTTATTTGCACCTGTTCATCGTCGGAACACATTGTCAACCTAGACATCAACTCCTGTGCAATTTCTGAGCCTGTCGCTCTGCAGTTGCTTTGAAACACTTCATAAACCTGTACCACAGTGTCTTCTGTGATCTACCGTTGATGGCTCTGCTTTGCCAATCAGCATTCAAACATGTCTCTAATAGTGTTCGAACTGCTGGTAATATTTGATAATGCCAGGAACTGATATTGCTTTTGCCCCATGCACCTTCCTAATTGCACATTGACTATCAGTATTGTTATGATTATAAATAGTCGCACAAATGATACTATTTCTCATACTTCAGCTGTGTAGTAAATTTCCAGTTAAGCCAGCACAATCTTGTTTTTGCTGTACGTCACCTCTTACATCTGTCACAAGAAAATTGTTTTTGAAGGAAAATATGAGTTTTTCTTCTAGGGGTACGTCATTCTTATTGAGCAGTTCTGTCAGGTGGTGGCAATAGTTGTAACTTCACTTTTGAACCCTCTACGTAGATCAAAATAAATCGTGTAAAGCAGTATTACATAATTTTTCTTAATGCTATTTAGTCCCAAATGTGTAAAAAAAGAGTACGGCAAGTGATAACAGTTTCAGTTTATGCCTGGAATTTTATGAAGAGTAATACGCAGTAAGTTTAAAAACACTGGCAGAACTTAACCTTTGCTATGACTGTGTTTGTTCGTATCTGAATTTTAATCTGTTTATTTTACCATTTGGGCACATGTAAAAAG